GAGGTAACAGTTAGCGATAAACGGTTTGGAAGCAGTGGCTAACATTTTTCCTCAAGCCACTATCTAATAGATGTTTGGTAATTTATTTTGAAATTGTTATAAATAAGAAATTTAGTAAAATTTTTTATTTAGTAATTTAGAATTAGTGAATGGTAATTAGGGTACAAACTATTAATAGATGGATATTTTTTTATTTTATTAACAAATTTATCATTTTAAATTTTTTTGTCATGTCTTTGATTAACACTTATTTAATTTTAACTTCATTTTTGTTCTCTTTAGTAACATTAAGTGATTATTACATTTTTTATTTTTTAATTTAATTTATCATTAAAAAATTTATATTAATTTAATAAACACAATTTACTAATTAGATAATATAATTAAAAGCTTATTTTTTTTATTTATTTAAAAATAATATGGTTTTTTCTTTATTAAAAATAAAAATGAGTGTGAGATTTATATTTTTATATTTTATTTATTTATTTATTATTATTAGTTTTATAAAATTAATAATAATAATAATAATAAATACACTTAATTGCTTTTAAATATGCTTTTACTAGTCATTTAATCTCAAACAATAATAATTAATCATTTTATAACTAAATGGTTATATCAATTAAAATCTGTTATCTATAATTTGCTACTAGTTAACTGCCATTTGCCATCCATCGTCTTTTAACCATTGCCCACTACTAGGGGTGGCAAAAATTCACCCGACCTGCTAAGTTGACGCTAACCCAACATGTAAAAATAGGTTAGAGTCTACATATCCTAACCTGCAACCTGTAGCTAACCTTAAATATCAACTCGTATGGATCACAGATCGGGTTAGGGTCAACCCATGGTTGACCTGTTTGTTTAATTTTTTTAGTATTATTTCTAAAATTATTATACTTATTATTCTTAATTAATTTTCCTATTCCTAACTCTCTTCATTAATTCATACTCTTCAACCTCATTTCCATTACTCAAATAGTTTTGAATTTATTTTGAGTATTTGCTCATCATAATTTCTTCTTCTTTCTCTATAAAATATGTGAGTTTGATCTAATTACCAAGTATCATGAATTAAATGATAATGCAATTAAAAATATTTAAAATGTGATGCTAGGATATAAACATAATAATTTAGTGAAAAATGTTCTTGGAAAAGCAATTTCATCATAGAAAAAGGCTTAAACTCCTTAATAATGTTTCAAGATTATTGTAAAATTACAAATTTTATTTTCCAAGAAATTTAAATATTTTAAGTTTAATATTGTTAATCAACTTACTATTATTTATAATTTTATAATTTTTTTAATTTAAATATTTGTGGTTGAGACTATAAAGTGTTAAGTGTTAATGAATTGCAATACTTTAATTAGATTTAGGTATATATAATTTTATTTGTATGTAATAAAATTAATAAAAATAATTATAAAGAATGAAAATAAAGTCAACTTGCAGGTTAACTCATAACTCATTAGGGTAGGGTTAGGATTGGACTTTTCCAACCCGCAACTTGTTTAGTATCCAACTTGTATGACCCGTCACCCAAGTTGACCCAACTTGCCCGTTTGCCAAGCATACCCACTACATGTTATTGTTATCTCTTATTTACTATCGCTACTTGTTATTTGCTAAATTGTTGGCTCAATGCACTCCAAGAGGAGGCTGAATTGGAGTTCAAAAATTTCCTCCTCTTTGCAACCACAGAACAAAGAATTAAAGAGAGTAAAGAGGAAGAGCTTGCTCAATGATTTTATAAAGGTTCAGTCCAACCACTTGGAGCCTAATCCTCTACCTTGGCTTCACTCACCAAGAGTTTCTTCCACACTTTCCACTATCAAGAACAAGGGTGGCTTAAAGGGGTCACGCAATCCTTTTACAAGAAGAAGAGTATTTCTCTCAAATTTCACCCCTTTACAAGATAAACCCAAATAATCCTCTTTACAAATCATTCTTGAGGGAATAATCACACCCCCAAGATCATTCACAAATAGAACAAGAAGATGATTACAAGAAAAAATACTCAAAAATTAAGTTAAAGAACAAGTTGGTAGTTAGAGATATTCAATACAATGCTCTCTAAACTCGTTCTAGATCTTCTACCAACCATATTTATAATCCCATGGTTGAAAATAGTCATTACTAGTCATTGGAGGTCATTTAATGCTCTGCAAGTCGTGTAATTTCGAATTGCAAAATTGTTAGCACAACCGACTTAAAGTATAGAGCCGGCTCTGCACAGTTGGCTTTGCGGGTTTCCTACACATTTTCCTTTCTTCATAGAGCTGGCTTACATTCCTTGAGCCATCTTTGCAGGTTCTCTGCACATTCTCTTTTCTTGCACAGCCAACTACAAAACATAAAGCCAACTTTGGGATTTCGACTTTAAAAACATTAATTAATCTTTATATAACTCGACCGTTGTGCATTAAATGCACACTTATAGCCGGCTACAAAGTCAAAGCTAGCTTTGCGTTTGTTTTCCGCACACGCCAAACAACTAGCTTGAATTTTTCTTTCGTTGAGCCGACTCTCTGCACTTCACTTTCACCTAAGCCAGCTACAAGTTTCAAGAGCCGGCTCTCTACACATTTTTCAAGCCTTTTGGTTCATTTTTAGTACAGTCTAAGTTTACTTACTTTATAATCTTTTAGCAATTTAACTACACACTTAACTAAACCAATTAGTCACTCAAAAGTGTTTTGTAATCATCAAAATCATAGGTACAATAGTCTCCCCCTTTTTGATGATGACAAAACACTTTGAGAATGAATTAATGAAAGCATATATATACTTCAATATTAACTCGAAATTTTAGCACCAAGACACTCCAGAAAATGACATTAAATCATAAGAATTCAACATACTTTCTCCTTCTTTTTGTTATTCATCAAAAAGCATATAAACATAATCAACAAACTCTCCCTTAATTTAGGCATATCAATCTTTAAATTTTAAGCATGATATCCACAAATTGCTCCCCCTTAATGAAAGCACTTAAGATCATAATCATCAAAATCATAGGCAACCATAAAGTCATATACAATTAAAATCCACTATTATTGATAATAAGCTAAGAAATGTGCATAGATAATGAGGACAAATTTTGGGAGAGAATCAAATCTTGAATGTGAGGAGAGAAAAAATGGTCAAATATTACAAATCTATCACGATCTTTCTCTTCTTTTTGTAATCTAACAAAAAAGTTTGAAGACCATATGAAGAGCAAACAAAAGAGCTTCCCCTTAATAAAATAACTCATGAAAGCATGAGCATACTTATATAACAATCTCATCAAAATCATACTAAGAATTTATAATCATTTATCATTTAAGTTATAAAGATCAATAAAAGATAAATGAAATAGCACAGAAGTGATATGCACTTAAGGTATAGCAATATATATGTCCATCATACTCATAAAGAGTTTGAAATTGATAGGTTTACCTCCATTATTGTTAAAGCAATTGAATACCTCAATGGAGAGACCATTGCTTGTGCATCTTCTTTATATGCTCCCTTTGATTGGTGAAGATCTCATCTTTGGGATAATTTCATTTGAGGTTCCAATACATTTAATTGTCTCAAGTTCACTTAACATTGCTTTGGAAAATTTTTTGTAACAAAACTCATTAGTAGCACCAAAAACAATGTTAATGCCATCATTAAGCATAACATATATATTTCTTAGCTTTAAGATGTATTACTAATAACCACATTACTTTTATAGAATCTCTTTTTTGGGTAGAATTATAACCTTTGTTTTTGTGCTTGTTGCATCTCCTCAATCTTGTTCTTCTCACTTTTTTCACATGGAGGTTGTGTGATGTTATTGCCTTCAATGTTCATTCTTATCATTGTTCCTAACTAACATCTACATCACAATTTCATAACTCTTTCTAGAGCAAATGAGGTTAGTCTCATTGAATACCACATGAATAGATTCAATATTATTTATCCTTTTGATATGCATTATAGCATATGCTAGTAAATATCAATAATCTTGTTCGTTGAAATCAACTATAACTATGCAAGCATTCAAGTGCTTGACATACACTTGCAAATAACCAAATATCATCAAAATCATCCATCAAAAAGCAAACATACAAATATTCTAATATACTTTAACTTCCAAGTGTAAGACTCCACCTAAGGTTATGCTCAACTTCCAAGTGCTATCATTTAAATCATGAAAATGAGACATGTAAATTTGAATGAGACAAACTATGTAAGGTAAGACAAGTTATTAAAATTACTCATTTAAATCAAATTATCAACCATCTTCAAAATGACACATATGACATTAAAAATCACTTATACCATCAAGAGCTCATTATGAAGTATATATGATAAATAATTAATCTAATCATTCACATATGTTAAGTATGTAAATATGGTACAAGTAAGATCTATAGCAATCAACAAGGTTGTATCAACACTTAGAAAAGACACATAAAATGAAATCATACTCAACAAGCATATGTATCAAGGATTGAGCACACATAAACAAATAATTAATAGTCATGTTAGTGTAATTATACCCAATGAATAAATGCTATAAGATAAATAATACCAATTTGAGCACATGAGTAAAGCATTCAAAAAAAAATTTTTTTTCTTTGCACTTTTAATCTAACATTTTTGTTGAGACATAAGTCTTTATCAAGATAAACTTTGCTTTTCTTATGACTTTGCCATCAACTTTACCTATAAAACAAAATCAAGTTTTGATTTTTGGTACCCAAATTTGCTTGGGTCCGTGGGAGTTAGTGCTTAAAGTTCCTTTTGAAACCCAAATTTGCTTCACTTTGCCTTGAGCTATCAATCTCTTCAAAGGACATACATAAGCAAAATGTCCCTTTGCACAAGAACAATAACAAGTAACTTTAGGATTTGAGAATTGGCTTGCCCTCACAAAGAAGTTCTTAAAAGTCTTTTGCTTTTTGGAATAATCAAATCTAATACCCCCTTTTTCATAAATACTTCTTTGAGATTTTAAGATAGAATCAAATTTTTCTTTACTCAAGGTAAATTTAGAAATCACATTCTCAAGATCACAAACTTTCTTTTTGAAGTTTTCATTTTCCTTTTTCAAAGCATTACTAGATTTGTCATCTTTTAAAGATGCAATCTCAACTTTTAAAGAGGTATTCTCTTTAACTAAAACCTTATTTTGTTTTGAAAGAGATTCAAGCTAATCTTTAAGCCAAGAGATAGATTTAGTAAGTGCTAGATTCTCATTCCCTAGTCTCTTGATATCATTAATAGAGCAATCAAGAACTTTGCATAAATCATCATATGAATGCTCAAAGGAACTTTCATTAATTGAACTAGAGAAGTTGGAATTTACCTTCTTATCATTGTAGTTATCGTCTTGAGCCATCAAGCAAAGATTTGCAACACCATTCTCCAAGGAGCTTTCACTTTCTGTTGAGCTAGTCTCATTATCACTCCAAGTGGTGGCAAAAGCTTTCTTTTTCATGCTCTTCTTGTCTTTCCTCTCACCCTTCTTCAATTGAGGGCATTCATTTCTATAATGTCCCATCTTGTTGCACTCATAGCATTTGATATGTTTCTTACTTGGCTTTCCTTTATCATCGTCATTATCACTAGATATTCTTCCTCTAGAATAGTGAATTTCCTTGTTTCTTCTAAAGGATTTCCCTTTGAGGCTCTTCTTCATGTATTTCTTCACTTCCTTTGAAACCAATTTGGTGATGTCTTCCTCATTGCTAGACTCATCATTATTAGCATCATCTTCACTTTCTTCTTTTTGTTTGCTAGCCTTGAATGTAACATTTTTCTTTTTTTTTCAACTACTTTAACTCGACCATCAACTTGAATATCCATCTCATATGTCATCAATTTTCCAATGAGATCATCAAGCTTAAGGGTGTTGAGATCCTTAGACTCTTCAATTGTGGTCTTATTGGCTTCCCAATTCTTAGGCAAGCTTCTAAGAACCTTCCTCACCACTTCTTGAGAAGGATAAACTTTACCAAGAGCCTTGAAATTTGTGACTATATCATTCAATCTTCTATACATATCTTGAATGCTCTCCTCTGGTTTCATATTGAAAAGCTTATACATGTGATTGAGTCTATTGATTTTTGACTCCTTCACTTGGCTTGTTCCTTCATGTGTTACTTCTAACTTATCCCACATCTCTTTAGCCGTATTACACTTGAAAACTTTATGGAATTCCATTGGGTTGAGAGCACATTGAATCATGTTGATTGCTTTGTTGTTGATCATGATCTTTCCCAAGTCTTCATCATGCCATTCAACTTCTTCCTTTGGCACCTCATTTTCTCCAACAACTTTTATGGGCACATATGAACCTTTCATAGTCACAATCCATGCCTTAGGCTCATTTGCAAGCATGTACACCTTCATCCTATTCTTTTAATAATTATAATTAGTACCATCAAAGAAAGGAGGCTTAGTGGTAGACAAACCTTCAAGTGGTTGAGAAGCTTGAAATTGAGTCATCCCTGATCAAGTCCTAAGTGGTTAAACCTTCAAATTGGAGTCCTTGCTCTAATACTAATTGTTGGCTCAATGCACTCCAAGAGGGGGGTGAATGGAGTTAACAAATTTCATCCTTTTTGCAACCACAAAACAAAGAATTAAACAGAGTAAGGAATAAGAGCTTGCTTAATGATTTTCAGAGGTTCGGTCCAATCACTTGGAGCCTAATCTTCTATCTTGGCTTTACTCACTAAGGATTTTCTCCACACTCTCCACTATCAAGAATAAAGGTGGCTTAAAAAAGCCACTCAATTCTTTTACAAGAAGATGAGTATTTCTTTCAAATTTCACCCCTTTACAAGATAAACCCAAACAATCTTCTTTACAAATCACTCTTAAAGGAATAATCATACCCCCAATATCACTCACAAATAGAACAAGAAGAGGATTACAAGCAAAAATACTCAAAGATTAAATACTCAACTTAAAGCACGGTAGGTAGAGATATTCAATACAATGCTCTCTAAACTCGTTTTAGATCTTCTACCAACTATATTTATAACTTCATAGTTGACAATAGCTGTTACTAGCCATTGTAGGTTATGTAATTTTGAATTGCAGAATTGTCAGTACATTCGGCTTAAAGTATAGAGCCGGCTCTGCACAGCCGACTTAGAATCCTACAGTCGTCTTTGCGGGTTTTCTGTACATTTTGTTTTCTTGCACAACCGGCTACAAAACGTAAAGCCGACTTTGGGATTTCGACTTTAAAAACATTAATTAATTTTCAAATAACTCGACCGTTGTGCATTAAATGTGCCTTTACAGTTGGCTACAAAGTCAAAGTCGATTTTGCGTTTGTTTTTTGCATGCGCCAAACAACGAGCTTGAATTTTTCTCCCGTAGAGCTTGTTGTAGCTTTTAGAGCCGGCTCTTTGCACTTCACTTTCACTAGAGCCTGCTGCAAGTTTCAAGAGCTGGCTCTCTACACATTTTTCTAGCCTTTTGATCCATTTTTAGTGCAGTCCAAGTTTACTTACTTTGCAATTTTTTAGCAATTTAACTACACACTTAAATGAACTAATTAGCCACTCAAAAGTGTTTTGTAATCATCAAAATCATAGGTACAACATTGCTGTTATCTCTTATTTACTATCACTATTTGTTATTTGCTAAATTTTAAATACTATATCCAATACGCATAAAACCAAACATATGTTGTGGTATATATTGTAAAGGCAAAAATATGACATAAGGACCCGAACTTACACAAAATTCGCAATTTCGGACCCAAACTTCAATTGCACTCAATTAAGGTTCCGAACTCCACCAAATTCTCAAATAAGGTCCCAATTGGACGGAAAATTAACTTCCGTCAAATCTTTTACACACCGTTAATGTACCGTTAATGCCTGTACCCCTAGTGTTTTTTTTTTTTTTTCCTCTCTTTCTCCTTTCCCTTTCTCTTTCCTTTTCCCTTTCTTCTTCCCCTTCAACTTTCACTGGGTTCTTGAACCCAGCGAACCCAGGAACCCAGCTGGGTTCCATTTTTTTTTTTTTTAATGAAAATCTTCACCTAATTAAATACATGAAAATTGCAAATTTCATGGTTCCAAAATTGAATCAACATCTGGGCATATCCTAGCGTTAACTTATTTGAACAAAAATCAAGAATCAAAAACACAATTTTGTGCAAGAGAGTCCAATCACAATCTTCCAGCATCATCCTCATCATTGTCTCTGTTGCTCCTCTCCTTCGAGCGTTCCTCAACCTCCTTTTTCCGACCAAATCCCCCCCACCCACTCTCTCCCTCCAGGCCCCTTCGCCATCCTCATTGTCGGCCCTTTCCTATGGCTCCGCAAACTCACACCTCCGAGATGGAATTGATTCTCCGCAAACTCCATGCAAAGTTCGACCCAATGGTCACCCTCAAGATCAGTTCTCGCCCTACCATCTTCATCGCCGACCGCTCCCTCGCCCACCAGGGCTTGGCCCAGAACAGTGCCGTTTTCTCCGTTGGGTTCTCGAACCAGAACCCAACAAATCTGGTTCGAGAACCCACCAGCCACTGGGTTCTCGAACCCAGCTTGGAAGAACCAGATCTGCTGGGTTCGTGAACCCACCAGCCACTGGGTTCTCGAACCCAGCTTGGAAGAAGCCATTGGCTGCTGGGTTCCTAGGTTCGCGAACCAAGCAGAAGTTGAAAGGGAAAAGGAAAAGGAAGAAGAAAGAGGAAAGAGAGCAACAAAAAAAAAAAAATGGAACCCAGCTGGGTTCCTGGGTTCGCTGGGTTCAAGAACCCAGTGAAAGTTGAAGGGGAAGAAGAAAGGGAAAAGGAAAGAGAAAGGGAAAGGAGAAAGAGAGGAAAAAAAAAAAAAAAGAAAAAAAACTAGGGGACAGGCATTAACGGTACATTAACGGTGTGTAAAATATTTGACGGAAGTTAATTTTCCGTCCAATTGGGACCTTATTTGAGAATTCTGTGGAGTTCGGAACCTTAATTGAGTGCAATTGAAGTTTGGGTCCGAAATTGAGAATTTTGTGTAAGTTCGGGTCCTTATGTCATATTTTTGCCATAAAAAATTCTTGAAATCCTCTGTATTTCAATGACCAACCCCCGCCCCCGGCCGTTCCCTTCCCTATAAACTGATTTTGCTCAAATTTTCCACCCCCACATCCCAATATGATCATCTTTCCCCTCAAAAGACACTTACACTGGATACCTTGGATTTGCAAATAGGGAAGAAGTACGAAAACTAAATGGGGGCACCGCTGCTGCAACAAGTACAGGGTGAATGGAGGCCTCTGGTCTCCTGAAGGAAATGAAAAGCTTTTCAAATATATAACACTGAACATGCCATGGTAGTTGCAGTAGGTTTTTCTTGCAAACAAAGCTAAGCACTTTTAATACTTTCCTATATTTTTTGTTCTTTTTTTTTTTTTTAATTCATATCTTTTCTATAAATTATTAAATACTCTTCCATTTTTAGTAAAATTAGGACGTAATTATTGCACTTAATCTTTCTAATCAAGTGACCTCTAATCACATTATGATGCATCTTATCTCTCCTAGATTCTAACCCGTCTCATAGCACATTGTTAAAAACAAAAAAAAAGTAAATTTTAGACGTAATTGCCAATGAGTATATCACAACCTCACCTGCTTTGTCGTCATCCACTCAAAATTATTCAAGACCTCGTTGCCGCAATCATTGCTCCTGAAAAGGCTAAACTAGAAGATGTGCAACGTTGACTTCTTACCTTCGGATTTTTCATTCAATTTCATGAATCATGAATATTTTCTCTTGGTCATAAATT